CCGTATAATATACACTATTTTATCTGCAAATTTCTCATATAAAAATTCTATTAAAAATGAAGGATTATTCGCCAACATAAAAAAGGGCCACTTTTGAGTCTAAAATATCACAGCATAAAAATAGAACTTTTGTTAAGGTAATCTAGACAAAAAAAAATATTTTATTTTTAATTAATTATTTTTTGTATACCTAAATGAAAGAATGTAAATAAAGGAATGTTTAATTTGAGTGTTTCATTATTCGTTAAGTTTAAATCTCTTTAGTTGAATTGCCAAAGAATTATACAGGGTGATGAAAAAAAGGCGCCCACGATTGAAACAGGCGCGTCCTTTTTTATTGAAACATTGTGACCATCATTCCAAAAATAGTCTAAATAGATTCTTTTTAAAATTTAAACAGTTTGTCTAACAGCACAAAGCGGCAATATTGCACAATTTTCTTTTACTAAAAAACTATTTCACTCAGGTATTTTTCGTATCTAGGAAACCAGTACTAACAGATATTATCACCCGCATAAAATAAAAAACTGTAAAGTTTACATAATTTTATTATTCCAATACGATACGACCAAAAGGTATCTAATGATTTCAATTAATTTTAATCGTTGACTTTTTGACTTTAATCGTTCAAATTTCACAGAAAAAACAACATTGAAAATTGATTTTTTTTGTTGCTACCGTTTCTAATAATTGAATATTACTTGGACATTTTCTGTATCCTATCATATTTGCAATGTTTCAACATTGATAAATTTTCTTTGAAGCCAAGAAATGGTATCCTAACATCTTCAATAAAGTTTATTTCAATAGGCTTTTTACACATTTTTTTTAAGAACACCGTCAACTGTATCAAAATCTAGACTTAAACAATGAAATTATTTTAAAACTGTTAATGATATAGATTTCTCCTTTCTAAAAAGGAAAGTCTATATCTTACTGATAAGAGCACAAATCCAATTTTGGTCTTCGAATTCGTCTTTAATAAAAGATCACTTATAACGTGTGGGATAACATGGGCGCCTTTTTTTTATCATACTGTATTTCACCAGTGAGAAATTATAGTTTAAAAATCATTGCAATTTTTGAAATACTGTTTTAGTATTAACTTATAATGTTCAAATAAAAAATCAATACCTATTGATTAAAATGCAAAAAGCTAAAACAATTTGAATCGTTTGCATTCTGATAACAGTATCGGTTTAATTTGATAGACGACAAGGAGATAAGATGCACATGCGGCAAATGTCCCAAAATGTTAAAATTTCATCAAGTTTTTAATAAGTGTTTATTAGATTAATAAAAAAATGTTTTAGTTTTTCTTCCAAGAATAAAACAATATCACAAAAAACTCAAATTATAATTACCCGTTAAACATACTTACGGCAAAATTGAATATTAGGTAGATTTTTTAATAATAGTGATAAATATTTTGTAAAAAAACATTTAACAATTATTAAATTCAATACCACTATTCATATCAACACAAACAAAATTTCTAACCTTTTTCTTGACATCCAAGGACAATTGCTTATCAAAATGTTTTTAAGTAAAATTGTCTCTACATTCAATAATACCTAAACAATAAGAGAAAGTACCTTACACCAAAATTTATTAACTTTACAATAATTGTAACGTCTATAAATAATAATTATATTAAGACATTGTTTTTGTCCACGGCAAAATTATAAAAAAGCTTAAAACTACTCGATTTTAAGATGCAGTTTCACGTAATTCATTAAGGTCTAATATTAAATAATAATTAATAAATCATTGAATCAAAAATAAAAACTAAGTGCTACAAATCATGCATATTTGCTGATTAGATATACCAACTCATAAAAAAGTAATTAAAATGATAATACAAAAATCTGATTCAATACATGCCCATTCCTAGTTATTTTAGTGCCTACTGAACAATGGGAAATGGTTTTTTGATATTTATTTATTGTTTAGAAAACTTTTACTCATAGCTAGCTTTACTTCGAAAAAGGCAGATTTATAAACAAAAATTTTATGGCAAAAACAGCTGCTCTTGATTCCTGATTTCTTGTTTCTTAATTTTTTTTTCATTAAATTCAAAAATGTCAGACAACCATTGTTGAATGTTACATCAATCAAAAGCTACACAAACAAGTTATAAATATACAGAGTGTTCTATTAAACGTAGATGACACATATTTTGCTTTTTTTTTGAATTCAAATATGTACATACATACTTCAGAAACGTACATTTTGCATAATTGCCAAATTAAAATAGCCTGATTATAAATAGTTTAAGAAAAACATATTATTGCAAAAATCTGAATCTTTCTACTTATACCCGCTGCAGTAATAGAGTTTTGTATCACTTTTTATTATTATTTTGCGTTCGAAAAGTATCTTTTTATTCCTTGTTTGCTTTAACGATTTTATCAAAAACAGTGTATCTTAAAAAACGATTGTCACAGACAAGTGTTAGGTACAAGACACGAAAGGTTCTAACATGTGTTTTTTATATTATTTTTTATTAGGCGTTTTTTAAATTTAATTTTTTATTATATTTGAACAAAATCTAAACAGCGACATCTGCACAAATACGAAGATACTTATAAATACAATTTTTTAAATATTTTTTCTTCACCGATTTATTTAGTAAGAGAGTTTTTTTATAAAAATTATAGTTAAAACAAGTAAAGCTTATTTTTCTATTTCGGTGTCACAATGAACATTTTGTGTAATTGAAAACAGTTGCTTAAAATGCAATTTTGTGACACTGTTTTTTGGCGACATTTTATGCAATATTTTAGTCATCAATTATTGAATATTTAAAGTTGAATTTACATAACTCAATTTTTGCAAATTTACAGAGGGAAGTGGCCCCTATAAATTGACCGCGACTTTACTCGTATCACAATGAAAGTGTTTGTAACACTTGTTTTTTAATATAGATACTATTTTTCTAATATTTAAAATATACAGATTGTCCAAGAAATTATTTAAAAATAATGGGTCTGCTGAGTAACTACATCAAAATTTTATTTAAAATACTTCTTTCAACATATGCGAAGTGAATAAAAGGCAAGATGGCAAGTAAGTAAATTTAATTTAAAACTCCAAATATGCACAATTTGGCTTTTTTATTTATTTTTAGAACAGCCTGTATGCATTTATACATTAACAGTATTTACACTCATTTTTAAAAATTTGCTACTAATTTTCACAGAATACCCTCAAAATATGGCTTTCATTTTTATTTTTTCTAAACTATATTGTAATATTTATATAATATACCCAAAAAAT